CCTCCCGATACTCCCGTTCGTCTTTGGATGCTAATGCAGATCAGAAGATGGCCTTGGATCCCCTGGAGCTGGAGTTACAGGTGATTGCGAGCCACCTGGAGAGCCACCTGACTCGGGAACTGAACTCCAGTCTTCAGCAAGAGCTGTAAGCACTCTGTGCAAAGCTGTCTCTTGGCAACTTCTTGTCCCTCCCCTCAATTTCTTCTCCAATTTTTCCCTCCTGATCTTGGTTTCCTAGGGCTTCAGGCTCCTCAGCATGCCTTATCTTGGGTTTTCCAGGGAGGCTTGGCAGAAAGCATACCGTGAGGGGCTATTTTACAGTTGTAGACACTGGCTGGGGAATTTAAGTCCAGAGGGACAAACTGATTCGGCTGATTTAAGGACACAGTGCCCACCCTGATGAACCCACAGGAAGAATGGCAGTGTGCAGACTGGGAGGTACTAAGTCTGAGAAACCGTAACTGACTGGCTCAGATATTCTTGAGAAGCCCCGCCCACACAGGTACCAACGAGCAGGCGCATGCCTGTTCAGAACAAACCGAAGTCTGAAGGTGCTAAGCGGGAATCTATGGAGGGTGGGGCCGCTGAAAAGGAGCCGATTTCCTTCTGAGCGGGCCCTATAGCAGCCAGCGCTACAGTTAAAAGATTTGTTTTCTTGAGCAGGAGGGTCTAGACTCTGCAAAAGCTGGACTAGCCATCTCATAGAGGACATCACTGCCTCAATACCTCCATACAAGTGGGAGGAAGGGTCTGGACCTCCCACGCCCAAGGCCTCCCTGACCTATTTCCAATGTGGCCCCATCACTTCCCTCTCTTCTTTTTGTTTTAAGATACAGTTTTAATCAGAAGCCAAGGCCGATCTGCTACTGGAACTCACTATATAGCCCAGCATGGCCTTAAGCCTAAAGTGCTGGGATTACAGGTATGCTGAGCCATCACACTTGGCTTTTCCACCAGTCCTTCATCTCATTCTCTTCTCTTTTGCCAACTCTACCAACAACACTCGCTCTCTCCCATCTTGTACCCTGGTACCTCTGTGAGGGATTTGTTTCTTTGGAAGAAGCAAGCCCAAGCCACTGGAGAAGGTTCTGCCTCCACCTGTGGTCATATAACTGCTTCCTCTTAATTCAAACGATTCCGTTAAAGCTCAGAAAGTAAGACATAGGTTCTGTGAGCTCTTGAGACTTAAAAGATTTACAAGGCTGTTCCCCGAGCTTGTATAAACTATGGCACACATACGCGGCTCGGCTCGCGCACCACAGTGTCTGCTTCGGAGAAGACTCTCCTACTGCCCCAATTCCCTGAAAGCTGTGCAGGGGGCTCCAGGGTTACAGCTTTGATGAGTCCTCTCTCCCCTGAGGTGGGTTTTCTGGTGCTGCACCACCCTTGAGTCATCCGTATTCCTGTTGATGATTCCGCATCCCTACTCATGCAAAACCTCACCAGTGAACCAAGCTAGATCTGGGAGTTATCTTTAGTATGCTGCTGAACTTAAGGCATCTCTCCAATCCAATCCCACAGTGCTCTGCTTCCTCTGACTGACTCCTGTTAGGGACTGGTATTGGCACAAGACATCCCAAGACCAAGTTCTCAGTGAAAAAAAAAAAAAGGATTTATTTGCCCAAGAGAGACAATAAGAGTCAAAGACAGGAGATAAAGGATGAGGGATGTAGTAGGAGCTGTGGGCAGGCTAGCATTACACCCGAAATAACAACACACACATTGTATTCTTTTTTTTTTTTTAATTTTCGAGACAGGGTTTCTCCGTAGCTCTTTTGGTTCTGGTCCTGGAACTAGCTCTTGTAGACCAGGCTGGCCTCGAACTCACAGAGATCTGCCTGCCTCTGCCTCCCGAGTGCTGGGATTAAAGGCGTGTGCCACCACCGCCCTGCTCAAATTGTATTCTTTTAAACACTGCTTGGCCCATTAGCTCTAGTCTCTTACTGGCTAACTCGCATATCTTGCTTTAACCCATTTCTAATAATCTGTGTAGCACTACGAGGTGGATTCTAGCATATGTCCATCTTGGGCTGGAGCTTCATCGCGTCTGCCCAGAGAGGAGAGGCATGGCGTCTGAGCCAGAGAGGAGAGGCATGATGATTGCCTAACTTCCCTTCTTTCCAGCATTCTGTTCTGTTTACTCCACCCATTTATGTCTTAACCTATCAGGCCAAGCAGTTTCTTTATTAATTAACCAATGAAATCAACAGATTGATATATGACACTCCTACATCAGAGGGAGAAGGGGAAAGAAGTGAGGGAGAGGGGAGGGGTATTTGTCTTGGAGGACAAATGACTCTCTGGATAGAGAGGAGACAGACATGACCCATGGGCAAATAGCAGTTTATGAGGTGTTTAATTTTAGTTGGGCATGTTAATTAGGTGAACCAAAGGGAGGGTTTGATTGCTACGCTTCAATATTTTGATAGATGGATTTTGGTAGCCAACCTCAGGAGGAGGAAGTGGCCAAATAATAGAATGCAGTCTAATGGTTTCCAGCACCGCAGAGAAGATGGGGAAAGGGCAAGGCCTGCAAGAGCCTTGCTTCCTAGGTTCACGGTGGCCAGAGTCCCTTCAGATGCCCTGCTCGTCCTCCTGATGTTCACTCTCTGACTCTCCGTTCCTGTTCACAGCACTCTGTCCACTTTCTTCTTACCATTTCCCCACATTTTACAGTCAAGTTTGTCTGTTTTATGAATGTTCTGACTGATGCGTATCAGGGGAGCATGCCAACCGTGGGTGGTCCTGTGCCTAGGCAGGAGATGCTGGCATGGATAAGACAGCCAGTTACATAACAGGGGAGCATGCAACTCTAACAAATTCACCTATTTGGCCAGGTTAATCTTCTTTGGTCTTCTTTGGGGATGGACACTTTTTTCTTCTTCTTCCCAGGAAAGTCATGAAACACCAAAAGACACTGCAGTGTTTACCTAAGTAGGTTCACTGTGTCTGCCTTACCTCTGCCCCCGCCAAAGATACCATATACGCCATTTCTCTCACTCGGAGAACAATCTGTCTCTATAGATCTGTTCAGTCTACTTCTTGGCTTCAAACTTTGCGACAGCTCATGATTCATTCATTCATTTGTTCACGAATTTCACAAACAGTTCTGCACACATCTTAGATCTTAGGCACCATTCCCAGTACTGCTGAGGAAGGAAACAAGACAGGCAAACTCCTGTCCCCAAGGAATCAACATTCTAAGGGTAAGGATATGGTGCCATGACATAACCTTCCAATGTTTTATCTTCGAGCTCAAATTCATCATGGTGTATATTCTCTACCCGTGTCTCTGGGCACCACTTTTCACAGAGCCGTCTCCACTCTGGTACACAGTGTGTGAGCCTACTGAAGTCTGAAGCTAGGCGCTTAAGTTGGGATTAGATTGTGTGTGTGTGTGTGTGTGTGTGTGTGTGTGTGTATGTGTGTGTGTGTGTGTGTGTGTGTGCATGTGTCTGTCTGTCTGTGTGCCTGTCTGTGGTACTGGTTATGAAGAAAGGGATCAAAATTCCTTATTTCACAGGCTGTGCACAGTCATTTTTCTCTCCCATGACCCTGCCTTTGAGTGAGACATGTATCTTTTGGCTCACCCAAACTATCGAGGTTGATGTTGAGGGTAAGCCCACTAACCCTCTCGGGGTCCAGAAGGATCGCTATAGCAGGCACAACTGAGGAAAGATACCTGAGGGTGAATAACACAAACTAGCTAGCTCACATATGTTGTTTTGTTATTCTCATCTATCCTTTCTCTGCTCTCTCCAAGGTCCTTTTAATGTTTCCCCTCCCATGCTCCCCCTCGCTGTTGTTCACTGTTCCTCACTGTTCTACCCATCCCACATAGTTTTCAGTTTATAGACGACCCGCACAGACAGTGAACAAGCACACACAGGTAAAGGAGGCACCTCATGTCTCAGAAGGAGCATGGCTGTGAAGCTCCCTGGTAGATACTGAGAGGATTAATACAAAATTCTAATATGTTTTCATGTGCTAACTACATTTCTTAACTTTAACTAGTTAAGCTGGAAGTTTGTGATTAATAATTGTAGAAAACGCAAGAGTGCTGTTGCACTTTCTGAGCACTTCTGCTTCCTTCCCTGGTATTGGTAACCATAGTAACCCTGGGGTTTGGGAGGAAGACAAAGGTACTTAATTTGTATCAGCATCTAGCTAGCTGAGTTAAAGGGAATTTCTTTGAAGATTTTGCTTGCAGCCCCAGCAGGGTGTCTGCCAGCACCTAGGTGAGAAGGAATTTCTTTCTCAGGGGCTGGTTTAGTGATTCAAGCCTTTTCCTTGTATCTCTAGGGGTAAAGGCATAAACAGCTAATTTCCTGGGCTATGGTCTTATGTTAATTGAAACCAAGGTAAAGGATAAATATTAATAGCTTGTTAGGTTAGAGCAAAGGCCAGTAGATTACACCTTCCTGAGTCTGCTGCTAAAGAATTCAGGTCACCTAGACATGTTTATCAGCAAGAACAGACGTACTGCCTCCTGCTCAGGGCTCCTTTCTGTCAAGAAGTCCTGGCAATAAGGATAATTGTGGAGTCTAGCTTTATGTAGATTTGACTATGAGAACAAAAATTTGGCTGAGTGAATGTTTTCACACCAGGGCTCCCTGGTGTGGTAAAAGTCATCCAGTTGCCAGTGCAGGAGAACTCACGTTTAAAGAATGATTTATACACTGCTGGGATATAGTGGAAGGGAGAAACATCACGATTTCACAAAATTTCTACAGAACTAACAGTTCCAAAAGACAAATGTTCCCAAAGCTCTGCACACTGGGTTCTTCACCAGATCAGACTCCTGTGGATCTGTCTAGTGGTCTGCCAGCTGCGCATTTACTGCATAGTCGTGTGACTCCCATCACCAAACACCAGTCATACAGGTGACCTTTTAAAGTCCTGAGCCCAGGCCCAGTAGTTGTCTCCACAGCTTGGAGTGCACAGGTTTTGTAGAGGCTGAGAGGTCTTCGTGAGCTCAGATTTGCAGGACTTCAAGTTTATTATGGACTTGGGGTTTCTGGGGTCTCCATGGGTTTTTGAAATTCTGGGAATAGTGGGAGCTTTGGATGTGGTGCGTTTTCCTCCAGAGACTCTGCTGACTCCGCTGGCTTCAGGATGGCTTCCTTTTCCTGGACGGTGAGAAGTCAGGGCAAAGAGAGAAAATGGAACAGATTTACAGGTGAAGTAGCCACACTCAAAGAGGAACTCTAAGGAAATGTGGATCAAACATTGTCTTAACTTTCCTCAAGGTACCATGACTGGAGCTGACAAACCTCTTCTCCCTTTGACCCCGCCTGGTGTGACCAGGGGCTCCCTGGGATGTTGTACATGATGACCTCAGGCAAATGTTTCCCCATGCTCTGGGTCACCCTAAGCCCCTGCCAGTGTGGTTCCTGTCTGAGGGTAAGGGCTAGGTCTAATCCTGGCACCCTACCTAGCCCAGGGCAGAGGAAGCAGAGAGCAGACATAAACGGGACAGTATATAGAAACCCAAGCCCTGCCCCGTTACACATACCCCCACTTCCTTTAGCCAAGCTCTGTCTGTCTCCTAAAGATTCCATAATATTCCACAGCAGCAGCACCAGTTGGGAAACAGGTGTTCAAATTACGTGAACCGGGAGTGGGCTTCACATTCAAAGTATCCACAAAGGGACAGCTTATCCACAAAGGGACACTAACTCTGCACACAGGTTGTTAGGAGGGAACTGGTGGGGTGGTATGAATCACTTGGTCCCCAGTTGGTGTCACTGTTTGGGGTGTCATGGGTGGAGCCCAGTCTTGCTGGAGGAAGTGTGTCACTAGGGGTGGGCTATAAGTGTTTATGGTCTCACCCCACTTACTACTGCCTGTGTTTGGCTTCTAGCTTGCATATGGACGTGTGAGCAGTGAGCCTCCTGCTCCTGATGCCAGTGCCTGCCACTACCTTTGGAACTGTAAACTCAAACAAGCTCTTGGTGTTTCAACACAGCAACAGAAAAGTAAGTAACAGCAGCAGGAACCCCATGGTTCTGGAGACTCACTGTTATTCTTTCAGTCCCTGCCCCGGCCACGCCTACTCCTTTTAACCCCTGACCTTGCCCGCCATTGCTCTCTCTCCCTGTGTTCTCTCCCAGTGTATACGTGGGGCTCTGCCTCTCTCCTCCTCTCTCTCCCTTCTTCTCTTTTTCCTCTCTCTCTCTCTCTCTCTCTCTCTCTCTCTTCCTCTCTCTCTTTTCCTTTCTTTCTTTCTCTCCTTGTTAATAAATTCTTATATGGCTATTTCCTGTGTTTATATGTCTGTTACTGCCACCACCGCCAGAGCAGTGCGGGCCCTCCCGCGCCGCTTTTTCTCATGGCGGGCTCCGCCAGCCCGCCCAAGGGATATTTTTTAAGAATAAGACTCACACATGGGAAGTAAGAATGAGACCGGGCAGTCTCCAGCCTGTTTTAGCCAAGAAGTCCTGGGGTTGTGGGCTTCGGGGTGAAGTAAGGAACAACCTGGTGCCATGGTTTGGATGTGAAATTAGAACACAGGGTCCTGTGTTGAGCACTTGCTCTTCTGCTGGTAGCACTGTTTGGGGGACTGGATGAATGGCTGGCACAGTGGCCGACTGTGGGTGGACCTTAGAGAGTCATAGCCTGGCCTTGCTTACTGCCTGAGTGCTCTGCTTCTTCTTTTTCCCCTTGATGTTGTTTTTAACATGTGTTCTTATGTGTCTATGTGAACTTGTGAGCACGTGTGCAGGTGCCCACAGAGGCCAGAGCATGAGGTCCTCTAGAGCTGGAACCACAGTCAGTTGGGAGATGTCTGAGGTGGGTGCTTGGAACAGAACTCAGGGCTTGTGGAATAAGCAGGAATTGCTCTTAACCACTAAGCCATCTCTCCAGCCAAAAGGAGTTTATTTTGGTTCATAGTTCAAGGTGCAGTCCATCCAGATGGGGAGCTCAAGGCAGAAGGCACAGGAGGCATCTGGTCACATCGCATCCACAGCTGGGAACAACATGAATTTGTGCATGCCAGATAGTGTCCAGCTCAGTTTCTCCACTCCCACAGTTTACGATCCCCGACAGAAATGGTGCCACCCACAGCGGGCGGGCCTGCCCACCTCAATCCACGCAATCAAGACAAGCCCACAGGCATGTTCAGATGCCCATCTTATGGGTAATTCTAGATCCTGTCCAGCTGACAGCTAATACTGACCATTAGAGACTGCATCCCTTGAACCATGGGTCAAATCAATTCCTTTAAGTTGCTTCTGTCAGGTGTTTGGTCACAGAACTGAGTCTCCAAGCACTTGGCACGGACTTGGGCCTTAGTCTGTTAGTGACTGCTGCCTACTGCACACCAGAGGCCAAACCTGTGGTTTCCACTCTGATGCTGCCACTACTGCCAGGGGGGGCATCAACCCACTTCCCAGTGGGGATTCATAGTGTGTGTGTGTGTGTGTGTGTGTGTGTGTGTGTGTGTGTGTGTGTGTTGATAGTTCTTATAATCCTTTAAACTATGTTTCTTAGTCTCTTCCATGAGACTCTGGGGCCTCAGCTTCAGTACCTATGAAACAACCCTCAAGCTAATCGTGTGCTATGCAGGCTACAGACTGGGCACTCCCTCCAAAGCAGCACACAAACTTCTCCCACTAATGCTGTCCTGCTAGACCGGATTCCACTGTGACGCTGGGGCACTCACTGAGAGCTGCTTCCCAGGTGACATGGTTCTGGATTTTCTAGGTTCCTTGGGCTTCACGATGGAGGCTCCCTCTGGTCCAGGCTCAGAGTCCTGCTGTGCTGTTATCATCTGTGCACACTTCACGATGGAGTCTCCCTCTGGTCCAGGCTCAGAGTCCTGCTGTGCTCTCCTCTGTGCACACTTCTTTGCCTTCTGCATCCTGAGAAGTTTCATTCTAAGGAAATGTGTTTCTGATTAGTTCTGATTTCCTGCCTCTGCCTCCCCACGTGCTCTCTGGTTCTGTTCAGCATTCAAGACTGAAGTCTCAAAAGGATCCTGCTTGCTGTGCTGTCTAGAGAAAGCCACCTAACTTCTCTGTAAGTTGGTAACACATCCTGTGTAATCAGGACTCCCTGCTTAACAGGTCGCGGGGTTCAGATGGGCCAGCTGTAGAAGTCGTTATTTATTTAATTTATTTGTTTTCTGAATTTCAATTTAAAAGCTTGTTTATTTTTATTTAGTGTTTATGGGTGTTTTGCCTGAATGTATGTCTGTGCACCACATGTGTGTCCTCGGAAGCCAGAAGAGGGTGGCAGATCCTCTGGAACTGGAGTTATGGGTTGTGAGCCACCATGTGGGTGCTAGGAACTAAACCTACGCTTCTGCAAGAGTAGCCAGTACTTTTAACTACTGAGCCATCTCTGCAATGCTTCGTTATTTATTTATTTATTTATTTGTTTGCTTGCCTATTGAGACAGTTTCAGGCAGCCCTGGCCAACCTTGAACTCACCACACTAAAGATGATGACATTGAACTTCTGATCTTCCTGTCTCTTTCTCCCGAGTGCTGGGATTATTAGGGGCATGCACCACAACATTTGGTTTATGCAGTGCTGGAGCTTGAACCCAGGGTTCTAAGTATGCTGTACAATATTTCCAACCTGCATTTGCCTTTGACTCCAGCTCCTCTCCACACTGTACCACTTTATTCCTCTTCTTCCTCTTCCCCTGATAGACAGCTACTCAGTCTCAATTACATTCTCCTCATTGCCAGATAGGATTAGGGGGTTGGAAGGTGAGGTCTTTATGATGGCATTAGTGACTTTATGAGAAGAGGTGCTTGCTCTGGATCTCACTGTGTGATTGATATAGCATGATAGCCCTTTCTGGATCTAGATGCCCTCCCCATGTTCTTGCACTTCCTCAACCTGAGCTAAGTAAACCTCTGTGTTTCATAAATTAGCTCATTTCAGATGTTTGGTCACATAGCATAAAATGGGCTCAGACATACTCACATTAAGGGGAGGAGGCAGATGAAAAGTAGTGTGGTTGCCATGGCTGCATAGACAACACCGTGGAGCAATGCTTTCAGAAAGATCTGGGGAGCGAAAGGGCCCCTTCCTAGAAGTAGAAGGCATTTCAGTAAGACTTTGCTTTTATAAGCAAAAATATCTTAAAATTGCATTTTTTCCACGTGTGTAGGGGGTGTTGCATGGGCCACAGTGTGCATGTGGAGGTCAAAGGACAAGCTTCAATAGTCTGTTTTCTCTTCCTACCCTGTGGCACCTGAGTAGTGAACTCAGGTGTTAGGCTTGGCAGCAAGCACCTGCCATTTTGAGCCATCTTGTACACCCTCAGGAAGCCTTTCTTAAGTCAGGTTCCAGGCTGTGGTCCCTCTTCTGACCTCAGGGCCAGTCCCTCACCCAGCCTCCAAGTCCCCACCCTCACTTGACATCAGTAGGATACTCAAACCATGGGTTCCATGTTGGTTCTTTCCCTCACAAAGAAGGACTGTGCCCATTCCTGGGTTTTTGGCCATGCTGAGGGTGCTGTTGTCCCAAGGGCCAAGTGTGGTAGAGGTCACCTGGAGGTGGCCATGCCCACTGATCACATCCACAGGAACACCATCCATCCACCAATGCACAGAGGGTGTGGGGATCCCACGAAAGGAGCAACTGCACTGCAAAGTCTTCTCCACAGTGCAGAAAGAGTTGAGCAGTCTGGCAGCTTCTGTGGAGAGGGAGGGTCAGGGGTCAGCAAGGTCACCTGATTTTTCTTTTAGTTCTTCCTTAAGGACCCAGCCTTCTTTCCTTTGTTTCTCCTGCTGTGGCTGAAACTCAAGGTCTTCCACCTGCTAGACAATGCTTTACCACTTAGCCACTTCCCAGTCTCTCCCTTGGGATTCTCGGGAGGTATCTACTGCTGAGCCATGCTTCCAGCCCCTTATCTAGGGATTCTAGCAGGAGCTCCACCCCTGAGTCATAACCATAGCCCTCACTGGGGGATCCTAGATAGACGATGTCCAATCCACAATGATTATTTATCTTCTACAACCCCTGACCTCTGTCTTCACGGTTCTCTCTGTGGCTTCCTCAGACAGTGCTAGAAGTGCTTCTTGTCCACTTACCCCACTGTAGAGGCGGCAGGCCCATATGGAAGAGCAAGAACTCCCAGGCATGCAATACTCTTCACTGTTAGGAGGAAGGTGATGGCAACTGGAAGGAGATGCAGAAGTGGGTGAGCAGGAACATCTTTGCAAAGCAGGTTGTGGTGGTTTGAAAGAAAATGGCCCCCAAAACGTGTGGCACTACTAAAAGGTGTGGTCTTTTTGGTGGAGGTGTGATCTTGTTGGAGGAAGTGTGTCACTGTGGAAGTGGGCTTTGGGGCTTCATATATGCTCAAGCCATGCTCAGTGTCTCAGACCACTTCCTGTTGCCTGAAAGTCAAGATGTAGGACTCTCCACTCCTTCCCCAGCACCATGTCTGCCTGCATGTCACCATGTTGCATCGTGATGATAATGGACTAAACCTCTAAAAATGTAAGACAACCCAATTAAATGTTCTTTCTTTATAAGAGTTGCCATGGTCATGGTGTGTCTTCAGCAATAGAAACCCTGATTAAGTAAACCATGGAGGGATGGAATCAAGAGGTGTGCATGCATGGGGTTCTTCCATTGGGACATTAAAGAAATGGCCGGCTAGGGAATGACCTGGACAGAGGCCTCTCTTGTTATTGAGAAAGAATGGTGTCCTTGAGTTGGAGTGTGAGAAATGGGGACAAGATTCAGAGGAGTGGGTAGAATTTAGACTTTTGGTGTTCCTTTCACTGTACAGAAAAGAGTCTGAATAAATCAACCAGTAAATCCATAGCCAGATGTGGTGGCTCACACCTGTAATCCTGTTCCATGGAGGCTAGAACAGGAAGACCGCTGTGACTGGCTGTGTAGACCAGGCTAGTCCCTGGCTCCCGAGTGATGGGTTCGAGGAACGCCAAGCAGAGAATGATTGCTCATACCTCTCACAGAGGAGTGACGCTGCCGGGCTCACCGGTCATAAGTGTTCTACCTCCACATCAAACACAAGCCTTGTTTTAATTTGTCAACTTTTTCTTTCTTTTTTCCAAACTTAAAACCTCATTCTGGGTGTCAGAATGAGCCCAAGATGGGTCCCAGCTCAAGCTTTGTCAGGAAATCACCAAATAACTCCGGTCAACTATCACCCATTCTCCAACGGTGTTCTCATATTCATGTCACATAGGTGAGATTTATTTATCAACCTAGCTTTAGGATTCTGATTTCGTCTTGCTTTCCTCTGCCAGGCTTTAAGGAGTGTAGGTGGGACGGCTACTAATGGATGCCTCCTTGATTTTCCTTTGGTCATCATTTCTCTTCATTTTACTTAATGTCTTGTTCTCGGGACTCCATGAAGTCCTTTTTCCTCAGCACACTTCCATTTACCTGATTGTCTCCCCATCTTCCTCTTGCCAGCCAAGTATTCTCCAACTGTTAAATTTTATTTTGTTTTGTTTTTCACAATATTTTATATAGCCAATGTTGGCCTCTCTGTGTAGCTGAGGATGACCTTGAAATCCTGATTCTCCTGCCTCCACCTCACAAGAACTAGAATTACAGGTGTTTGGAATTAATTTACCAAGAGATTGGTGGGAGCCCAATTAAGGATGGACCTGTCATGTTATGTCTGTCATGACATTGATGGATTGTGGGATGACCTGATTTACAGGGTGAGTTTACTAATGGCTAACTCACACAGCCACTACCCTGATAATTAATTCCCAAGTGTATTGTTTGTTCTATTAGTAGAATGGAGATCCACTGGCTTCTTTTCAAGTTAAATGGGTGACACTGTGAAAGAGACTGGAGGGAGACGGGGTGGTGAAGTGACTGAGGGGTGGCGGGATGAACAAGTGAGAGCCGGAACAAACAAGGGACTTGAAGGGTAACAGGTTGACTAGGGGAGGATGAACAGCTGACTGAGAGGCGAAAAGCTGATCGGGTGACTGAGGAGTGACAGGCTTTCTAGCATAAACTGACTAAACTGGCACCTGGTAAACTGACCGACCGGAACGGGGGTTGGACAAACAAGGAACTCGCGTTACCTCGGTGCTGAGGTTGCAGAGCGGCTTAACCGCCCTGAGCCTGTCTCGTGAGACGTCCGAGGATACGCTGTCTGAAGACTGCGTGACTAAGGGAGGAACTCCATGTCCCTGGAACCCCAGTGTGGAGGATCTCGACGCACAAGAATCCCATGGACCCTCCCATAGGCTCAGGCAGCCGGTCATAGTCTGTCTGCCACGCTAGAGTAGCACAGGAGGGCCACGTGACAGTCTCTGCAGTGCATACACGGTGTGTGCGCATGCGCGTGCCTGCATGCGTGAGTGCCTGTGTGCGTGTGTGTGCGCGTGTGTGTGTGCGTGTGTGTCTGTCTGCTGTCTACAACCTGACAAAGTATGAATAGCATCTTACTCAGCAGCCAATGAGTGCCTGCGCTTCTACGCCACAACCAACAAGTGAGGCTGTAAAGCTTTGCTTTGTGTACTTGCCTCTGGAAGTTGAGGCAAAATCACCACTGCCAATCAGGAACTGAACATTGATGTCCCACCCATCTTTGTGGTGGCTCTGAGCCAATCAGGAGTTACTGTGAGACACTGGCAATTTGGCGTTCCCTCCACAAGGCCTTTCTTGACCATTCTCATCAAAACACACTTTGACTCCAACCCTCCTCACTCCCTTCCCTGTCAGCCAGCCTTGCTTTTGTTTTTTTAAGTGATTTTTTATTGAGCTATATATTTTTTTCTGCTCCCCTCCCATTCTCTCCCCACCTCAACCTACTCCCATGGTTCCAAAATCTCGGGTGAGAGTACCAGGCTTTTGTGTCACAGGACTGAAAAGAAATACCACCAGAAGCCCAGTGATGAAGTCAAGCAGAGAACAACTGATCACGGAGTGGGAACTTCCCACCCACATAGTCAGAGTTTTCACAGACCTTGAAGATAAAACTGTTAGGGATTTTTCCTAACGCGAGCTCTCTGGATGCAAAATCCCAATCAAACAAAATCAAAACAAGCCAAATTAAGACATATCCAGGTTTAATGGGATATTAACCAGAGGCGAAAACTTGCGACCACCAGGAGAAAGGAAAAGAGACTTCATGATCCTCTTTTGGGAGTTCACCTAAATACCCTATGGGAGGGATCAGGACCTGGCATGCTGGGATTTGGAGTCCAGACCAATACAACTCTCAGGCCTCGGGTTGGGGGCTACGCTCCCAACTTAACAGAAACACTGTGCTTTGCACACGGGGTGCAGTGGTGCCACACTGGTTGAGAAAAGTCCACCGCCTACACCTGTCTCCCTTCCGGCTTCCTGCCACTCCGCCATCCCCATCAGAGCACTAGATGCTGCCAGACAACCCACAGCTTCTGGGCGCTCTCAGCGGTCAGTCTGACAGAATCAGGACTCCAGGGGTTGGCAAAGAGCGACCCTGTCTCAAACAAAAAGAAGGCACCAGAGGGAGGACTGGGGAGGTTGTCCTCCGACTTCACAAGCTTTCAGGACCACGGAGAGCAAGCACTTCCACTTTGCTCATGGGGCTCCACGGGGGACACTCAGGGAGGATGTCAGACCCTCAGTTCTTAGTTCTCTGACTGCGGCTTCATCCTGCTCTAAAGTCCTTATCCAGCTAGTGGGCTCTGGCCAACCACAGACTGTTGGTAGGGGATTAATGCCAGAAGTTGTGGGAAATCCTGTCACCCTGTGTGGCTAGCAGCTAAGTTCTTGGGAATAAGTGAGTAGGGATGATGGATCAGGACTCTGATGGCCTCATGAGAATGCCGTCCCATGTGACAGCTTCCCAATCTACTTACTGTGACTTCCCAAGCCTGGATCACACAGAACAGGATCTGAAAGACTGCCAGGTTAGGTGACAGTATCAGGAAGTCAGGGGGAATCTTAGCTTTGGGACAGGAGTCCTTCTGTTCCTGCTGTTTTTGTATCCATTCCAAGATTCATATATCAGAGGGGCCAGAGTTCCCAGTCCTCAGTCTGAGGAGACTCTAGTGGAGGATAAAGGACAGTGCTCTCTATAGAGTCGGGGTGGGTCCCAGGGGTCACTCTGCTTTTCCTCGGTTTTTACTGAGTCATGCCATCACCAGTAGGCTCCTTCTGGTAGTCCGCATGACCCTGGAGCCACATCTTTTGAGGACTCACAAGAAACAGGTCCAGATGCAGAGGCTGCTGTTGTGGGATGGACTCCTTACTTCCTATTTGAGGAAGGGGCAAGATCATTCTGTGTGGTGATATTTTGTTTATGATCTAAGAAATAAAGCTTGACTGAAGATCAGAGTGCAGAGTTAGCCACACTAGTTAGCCATAGGGACCAGGCAGTAGTGGCACATACCTTTAATCCCAGAGCTAAGGAGGTGGAGACAAGAAGAGAAATGGCTGGGCAGAGAGAGGAATGTAAAGTGGGAGGAGACATGAGCCCATTGCAGTCAGATTGAGGCAGTCAGTCTGAGCATGCAGTCTGAGGACAGGATCACCCCTTTGGTTTGAGTATTGGTAGAGGAAGAACTCCAGAGGCTGGCTGCTCTGCTCGTCTGATCCTTCAGCTTTCACCCCCTGATAAGTGACTCTGAACAACTTTGTAGTCCTGAAGCATTGTGTGATACATTGTATCCTGTTCAAGTTCATGTGTAGAAGTCTCAGCCTCCT